AAAGCAAGCTCTTAATTCTAGCTACACTAAAGGAGCTTGCTACAACTAGTTTGCGAGAATATAAATGAGTAAGTAAGGTGATTATACCGCCGCGTAGAGGAGTGAACAAATCATAAGATGAATACTAATTCAATCATCGGAAGAATATCAAAGGGCAAGAGACAACCAATGTTTTTCTCCTGAGGTTCACGTGCTTGTCAACACTAGTCTCCGTTGTGTCGACCAACACTTGGTGGTTCGACGGCTAAGAGGTGTTGCACGAACCTCGTCCACACAATTGAACACCGCAAGAACCTACCCTTAAGTGAGGTAACTCAATGACACGAGCAAATCCACTAGAGTTACATTTCGACGCAACGCTGGGGAATGTACAAGGCCCTTCACAATCACCGCGATAGGAGCCAGAGACAATCACCAACCTCCGCTTAACGATCCTCGCTGCTCTAAGCCATCTAGGTGGCGGCAACCACCAAAAGTAACAAGTGAATCCCGCACCGAAACACAAACACCAAGTGCCTCTAGATACAATCACTCAAACAATGCATTTGGATTCTCTTCCAATCTCACAAAGATGATGAATCAATGATGGAGATGAGTGTAATGACTTTGGCTAAGTTCACAAGGTTGCTATGTCAATGCAAATGGCCAAGGAGTTTAAGCTTGAGCCGGCTATAGGGCTTAAATAGAGCCCCCAACGAAATAGAGTTGTTGGGCTCACAGAGCACCCTACTGCTGCACCGATCGGACGCGAGGTCGGGGTGACCGGACGCATGCCTCTTAGCGTCTAGTCACGCGATGCGTGCCACGTGGCCCTTCAGTTTAACCTCGTCCATGCGATCTCAACGGTTAGTCTGCTTCGCGCCACGTGTTAATTTATGACCGGACACGCTGCTCAAAGTGACCGGACGCTCCATCACTGGAGTCCGGTTGTTTCCAGTAAGGTTCCAGAGACGGTTTTTCGCGACCGGACACGCCCGGTGGCTCATGACTGGATCCAAGCCTGTGTCCGGTCAACCCAACGACTCTCTGTTGCTCGCGTCAGCGTACGTCACTAGGTGATTGGACGCACCCCCTGCGCGTCCGGTCCCTCTTTCTCTTCGGCATCCGGTCAACGGACCGAGGGAGTCCTACACTGCGCGCCACTGACCAGACGCGAGGTCAAAGTCCGGTCACTGCCCAAGGAAGAGTCCGGTCAATACAAAACTTCTCCTTTTGACCCCGAACTGCACCACCGTTGATCAATTGTGCCAACCATCAAGTGTATCACCTTGTGCACATGTGTTACATATTTTCACAAATGTTTTCAAGGGTGTTAGCACTCCACTAGATCCTAAATGCATATGCAATGAGTTAGAGCATCTAGTGGCACTTTGATAACCGCATTTCGATATGAGTTTCACCCCTCTTAATAGTATAGCTATCGATCCTAAATGTGATCACACTCGCTAAGTGTCTCGATCACTCAACCGAAAAGCTACTATAAATTTTACATTTGCCTTGAGCTTTTTATTTTTCTCTTTCTTCTTTTTCCAAGTCCAAGCACTTGATCATTACCATGGCATCACCATCATCATGTCATGATCTTCATTTGCTTCACCACTTAGAATGTGCCACCTATCTCATAATCACTTTGATAAACTAGGTTAGCACTTAGGGTTTCATCAATTCACCAAAACCAAACTAGAACTTTCACATATGCAACACCCAAATAAAACACGTGCAACATGTGTCTAAAACAGCTGAAACATTTAGAACAGAAGCTTGCAACATATGTGTATAGCCATTGCAACATATGCAACATCTCGATCTACTTTTGCAACATCCACATGAAACACTTGCAACATGCATATGAAACACCTGAAACACTTGAAACATATGGTTGCATCACGCGCTTGCAACATCCAAGGAAGGAAGGGAGCGCAAGGTGCAGTCGGAGAAGCCCACTCAGGGTCTGGCCACTCCGAATCTCGTGATGTCGCGAGTTGAGGTTGAGCGTTGCGGCGGCGCCGGCGTCGACAGCGGGCACAACCTCATGGTGGGGAACGTCGACGTCGGCAGCACCTCGACGCAGCGAGGGACGAACACGACATGCAGGGGCAGGGACCGGGCACGGCGTGACGAGGTGGAGTGGGCGCAGCAAGGGATGGAGCACGGCGTGGTGGTAGACGTGGCGCGACTCGATGCGGGATGGGGGCGCCGCCGTGAGGCGGCTTGGGGTGGGCGGATGTCGCGGTGAGCCGCGACGAGCGAAGCGAGGAGTTGGGAATTTCTGTCAGCTGTCGCAGTGTAGATGGAGTAGATAGATGAGAGAGCGTAGATGGGACTGTTGGGCCGATCGTTGTGCTGGAGCGAGCGTAGAGCAGAGCGTCCAATTTTTTAAGATTCCAGACGTATGTTCCGTAGCATTACCGTATAAGGAGAGATGTAGTTGGGGACTAACCTTATTTGAATTATGATAATTGATTCAATAAAAACCTTATTTGATTGTTACATCGCCCACAAAGGATCATTTTCTAGTGGCTAACGGGTGTGGTGGCCAAGCCTCCTCACCAGATGCCATCTTCTCGCAAAGTGGAAGTGTGGAATCAAATGTGCATACTCCTTTTGTTCCAAATTTTTGTTTTTAAATTACAAGTCATTCTAACTTTTCTATGTACGTGGCTTGTTACACATGTAGATATACATCACGATGTCTAGGTAAATAGTAGTAAAAGCTATGCAAAAATAAAAGCTAAAGCAACTTTTGTAACTTGTAATGGGAGAGTACCTGATAAGTTTATCCACCTTATTACGTCGTTCATAGTTCTACTAGATACGATACGACACGGTATGCACATGTGTCCTGCGTGACGTTCTGCAGCACATTATCTGCGCGTGCGTGCATGTCTCGCTCGTGAAACACATACATACCGTGTCGGCATGATACGGGATCGCGGGTGGATGGCAAAAAGATAACCCTAAGCATTTGCTTGGCATAGTATTCACAGGGCCGGGAATGAGATCAGAGTCGTGCTCGTGCATGTGCCGCGGCCGGGGACCGCCGTATAGCACGGTGACGACGTACACGTACTCTCCTCGATATGATCGCGGGCTCCGAAAGTTTTGGCCTGCTCGATCCCGCCGCATTTCTTTTCATTTCACTATCCGTTCATCCCGTTGTAATCTGAAGGGGCTGGAACTGGAAGTGTGTAGTACACTCAAAACTCAGGCCTCTACCGTAGGTCCTCCCCGTGCGACGGCAAGATTGACTTAACCGACACTTAGCGGCGGAACCAGCAAATTTAAAGGGTCAGACAAACATAATGACATCTCGTATGTGAAAAATAATCGTCCTGTTCTGCAGCATTACTCAGCAGTATTTTTCAGCAAAATAACCTTTCACAACGAATTAGCATAAGCGTCAGCATATTCACAAGTGTACATTTCAACAAAATTTTCTATGTTCTACATATGTACTTAGTAATACGAATGAAAATAGCCAAAATGTGGTATTGTAATATTTACAATACTATTAAAAAACTTTGTGGGGGTGTGTGGGGGTGTGGGGTGTGTGTGTGTGTGGAGGCCCCTATGCCCCTGGTTCCGCCACTGTGGACACTGTTGTTGCGCAAAAGGAATGGCAGAACTTTCTACCGTCGTGGCTTCAGTGCTGGCCATGTTTCAGGCTTTCAATGATCCATGGCGCGGAATTTCCACACTCCAAGTTCTGGCATCGCGCGCCCTGTTTGTTTTTGAGTGGCAAAAAAAATCACACCAAATTTTACTACTTGCTCAACATAGGGACACAGATCATTTCACATGCCAGCAGCTAATAATTCTAAAATGGAAAAAGTCTACTCCACCCCCAACTATGGGGATGGTCTACATAACCCTCTCAACTATGAAACGGTCTGATTTATCCCCTGAATTTTTCTAAACCGTCTATTTTACCCCCATACGGTAAATTGGATTTTCCAATTAATCTAAAACTACAGCAAAAACTTTGTACTAAAGCGTACTATATTATATGTTCACTGTGTAGATCTACTCATGTGGAGTCCAACAAAATTAGATTTTCCATTTTATGATTCTTCTGTGATTTACTATGATTTTTCAAAGATTAAGCGGAAATAAGGAAAAAGGCAAAAACCCCTGACACTGCAGCAAGCACGCTGTTACTGTAGCAAAACACCTGTTACTGTAGCAAAACGACGCTGAAAACCGTCTGGGTGTTAAAATAGACGATTTTGGAAAGTTCAGGGGGTAAATCAGACCATTTCATAGTTGAGGGGTTATATAGACCACCCCCATAGTTAGAGGTGGAATAGACTTTTTCCATTCTAAAATAGACGGAAATGATATTTAAGGCACGAACGAAGCAATGGCAATTGAGAAAGAAAAATATATTTTTTAATACTTTTTCTGTTTTAAATTATAAGGGGGTGTTTGGATCATAGGAAACTTTAGTCCCTATTAATTGAATGTTTAGATGCTAATTATGAGGACTAAATATGAAATAATTATAAAACTAATTACATAATTTGTGGCTAATTCACAAGACGAATTATTAAGCCTAGTTAATCTATGATTAGCCATGTGATGCTACAATAAACGTATGCTAATCATGGGTTAATCAGGTTTAATAGATTCGTATCATGAATGAGCCACAACTTATGCAATTAGTTTTATAATTAACCCATGTTTAGTCCTCCTAATTAACATTTAAACATTTGATGTGATAGTGACTAAAGTTTAGTCCTAAGATAAATTTTTTAATTTTAAGAGATATGTTTTTATTATATATCTAGATATTTTATATATCTAGTTATATAAATAAAATTATTATCTAAAAAATATGAAACAACTTATAATTTTCAAATTTATATTTTGAAACTGAGGGAGTAGCAAATAAAACGTCACCTTAATTTTCAGAAGTACATATTCCTAAAAAAAAAATCAGAAGTACACTAGAACCTGGGCCTAAATTCTTTTACTACTCTTGAAGGCCCAATCTCAGGAAAATGGCCCAACAGGCAACAGCCAACCCCAGCACTCTACTCGGGATTCAGGCGTTGTTCCAGACTTCAGTTCCCAAAATCCGCGATACCCGTCACGGCGTATCCCCGTTACCCGGCGTACGATTCCTGCGTCCACGCCGCCGGCCGTCGCTAGCTGCCTATCGCGAAGGAAGAAGACGCTCCGCCTGCTGGTTGAATCCCGATTTCAGGTCGGCAGTCAAGGCAGGCGCCAGGGAAAGGGAAGGATCCAGGCCTTCAGCTGGCCGGCGCCGGGCGACCCGTCCGCCCCAACGCGACGTCGAGACGCGCCTCCAACGTCTAGCGCAGGCCGACCGCCCCGCCCTTCCGGCCCCTAGTACTGGTCAGCTGGTGAGTCCGACTGTAATCCTACCAAAAATGCCTGTCAACCAATAGGGATTGTGAAATTGGGATTAGGGATTATGCATTGTGAAATTGATGTGTGATTCAATATTTCAGTGCTAGGGATTTGCTCATTTACATAGCTTAGCATGAAATCTGAGCGCAATGCATGACTATTTATAGTCCTGTATGCAAGTTTAAAATTTAGCTTTTTTATTTTAATTAATCATTTTTAATAAAAGATATTTTATTTTTAATCTCACCATGTTTTTTTTAAACTAACCCCTTTGGCAGACAGCATGCTGTGCTATGCCGTGTGCGGGCTCCCCTTCCACGGCCCAAATCCCACGTTTTGGGGCCAGCTTTCGGTGGTAGAAACCCCCCTTGTAGATGTGGTGCCTTAGTTAGGGTTTATATGCAATTTCGAATTGCTAGCTATGCAAAGACCTAAGTCCAATTGCTGATAGTTTAGTTAGTTTGATTAGATTAGATTACTTGTAATCACCTAGAATACTTGAAGTAGTTTGGTCATCTATGTGTACATTTGGTTTAACATGCCAAATCTAGTTTGCCTTAGAATATTTAGAAATACATATAATACTTATATAGTTTAGCATTGCCATTTGGTTTCATTCTTAAGTACTTTAGTTTCCTATCATCTATGTGTACACTTACTTTAGAATTTAGATTACCAACAATACCTAATATAGTTTGGTCAAAATCTTTTGTAGATGGATAGTTTAGTTCATTTGTTTCATGGAGGAAGAATCAAAGCAGATGGTGAGTTTGAGAATATGGAAGATGAAGTCGAATTGTTTGACACACCGCCTAGCCTTTGGGATCTCTTGTGCCGTGTTAGGGAGAAGTTTGACGGTGATTTCACACTGAAGGGAAGATTGATTGTGGGAGGATTAGGGCACATTATGTGTTGATGAGATTGCCTAATGAGGCACATTGGTTGCGCTACAAAAAGGTAGTTGAAGGAACCAATGTTTCATGCCTTGAGGTTGTGGTCGAGAATGGACATAGGAAGAAGGATTTGCAATCCGTTGATGGCGTTGGAGGTGATGAAAGGCAAGCTAGGTATGATGTTGAGGCACCGGGAAACCTGGTTGAAGACACCAACTTGACGGAGGAGCCCATTCAATCTTTGGCGTTGATGTGTTCTTCGGTGGCCATGGAGGATTGTAGGAGGTATTCAAATGCCGTTGTAAACAATGACTTTGATGTGGGTACGTATGAGAATGACGAGTGGGAGCAAGAGGAGGAGGACAACCATCGGCAAGCTGGACAAGTATTGGAACCGGTCGGTGATCGAGACCGCCGCTGCTCACATCGAGCCGGCCATCTTCACCAAGCCACCGGTCAAATCATAGCAGTACGCCGCACCTGCATCTGCTAGCTATATGGCTGCTCGGCCCAACGGGCACCACAACGAACACAGCCACCGGGAGAAGGATCATGGGGTTGTCCCACCCTTGTTCCTTCCCCGATCATGGGTATGAAGGATTCCTCCCCAAACCCCCCTAAGCTTCATGGTACTGCATATGATTTAGTACGTCGCGCAATCGCCCACCTGAGTTTTTCCACAACCCCACCGGCAAGCTGCCTAAGATGACTTTCCCCACCTTTGATGGCACTGACCTTAAACTATGGATTACTTGCGCTGAAGATTACTTTGAGATGTACTCTGTTGATCCCTCAGTCTGGATTCAGTGCTCGCGCATGCAATTCCTTGGCCCTACCAAACGTTGGATCCAATCAGTTACTGACAAACTGAAAACCATGACCTGGTCTGAATTTTGTCAAGCCTTGCATACCTGCTTTGATCGCGATCAACATGAATTTCTCCTTCGCAAGATGAACTGCATTTGCCAAACTTCCTCTGTGCAAGATTATGCTGATCACTTTTCTGAACTTGTTGACCAGCTCACAGCCTATGATTCCTCCACCAATGCCCTGCATTACATCACTCGCTTCTTAGATGGGCTCAATGCAAATATTCATGCTGTTCTTCTCGTTCAGCGCCTCGATTCTCTTGATATTGCGTACACTTTGGCATTGTTGCAGGAGGAAGCGGGGGAGCCATTCAGGAAACATGAGTTCAGACCATGGAATCAGAAGGGAGGCTATCAACAACCTCCCAGACAAGACCATGTCCAAGCTGCTGCCGCTGACAAGAATGTATTGCTTCAGAAGCCAATGGACAAGAAGCTTGCTGATCTCAAGGCTTTCCGCCGCGCCCGTGGATTGTGTGATCATTATGGGGACAAATGGAATCATGAACACAAATGTGCAGCTCAAGTGGGCCTCAGTGTGCTAGATGAACTATATGCACTTTTCACTGATGAAGTCACTGAAGACTGTCCGACAACAGAAGAAGAGCCGGATGATGATGCAGCACAGATTTGCTATTGCTTATCAGCTGATAATGTAGCAGGCTCTGGGGTGAAGACCTTGTAGTTCCAGGGGCACTTTCATCAGCAGCCAGTGGTGATTTTGTTGGATTCTGGCAGTTCGATCTCTTTCGTCAGTCACCAATTGATATCTTGGTTTTCTATTGCAGCAACAGCGTGTTAGTCAATGTCTGTTCGAGTGGCAAATGGGGATGTCATGCAGTGTTCTACTTTCCTACCTGGGGCAATTTGGACTATCCAACAATATCAGTTCGCCCATGACTTACGTGTGCTTCCATTGACTGCTTATGACATCATTCTCGGAATGGACTAGCTACAGTTGTTTAGCCCAAGGTTGACTGGCGACAAAGATGGCTGAGAATTCCTTATAATGGTGTTACTGTCCGTCTACATGGTATTGTTCCAACACCTTCGGACAATGCCGATGAGTTACTAGTTCAGATTTTCAGTATGACTGCCACTTCTTCAGCCCAGAGTTCTGATCTACCTCCGGCTGTCAGTCAACTGCTGTTGGAATTTCCTGAGGTCGTCTCACCACCTACGAAGCTCCCACCCAAGCGTGACTGTGACCACACCATTCCTCTCATTGAAGGGGCATGGCCCGTGAATGTACGGCCCTACAGATACCCCCCAGCCCTCAAGGATGAGATCGAGGCACAAGTCGATGCCATGCTTCAGCAAGGCCTTATTCAGCCAAGCACTTCTCCGTTTAATTCTCCAGTGTTGCTGGTACGAAAAAAGGACGGGAGTTGGCGATTTTGCGTGGACTATTGCTATTTGAACGCACTCACAGTCAAGACTGCATTTCCCATTCCAATCTTTGAGCAACTGATGGATGAATTAGCAGGAGCAGAATACTTTTCTACTCTTGATTTGCTCTCGGGGTATCATCAGGTCCGGCTACAAGAGGGTGAAGAATACAAGACAGCGTTCTCTACCCATGTTGGCCACTATGAGTTCAGAGTTGTTGCTTTCGGTCTGTCAGGCGCTCCTGGTACCTTTCAGGGCGCCATGAATACCACATTGAAGTCACTTCTCCGGCGGTGCGCAATTGTCTCTTGGTCTACAGCAAGTCGATGGAAGAACATGTGGAACACTTACGCCAGGTTTTCTCGTTGCTTGCTCAGGACCATTGGCATATCAAATTATCTAAGTGTCGGTTCACCCAAACAAAGATTTCTTATCTGGGCCACACTGTCAGTGCTCGTGGCATTGCCACCGACAGCTCGAAGATTGAAGTTGTAAGTTCTTGGCCCACACCTACAAATGTTAAGGAGTTGCGCAGTTTTTTGGGACTCGCTGGTTTCTATCATCGCTTCGTGCGTCATTATGCTGTCATTTCTAAGCCTCTCACCAATCTGTTGAAGAAAAACACACTGTTCCTCTGGACATCTGACCACGCCAAGGCATTTGAGTCTCTGAAACACAGTCTCAGTTCAGCTCCAATATTGGCTCTACCTGATTTCTCTCAGTAGTTCTGTATTAACACCGATGCGTCCAATACTGGGGTCGGTGCTGTGCTCCTACAGAAGGGTCGTCCCCTTGCCTTCCTCAGTCGAGCTCTCGGCCCCAAGAATCAAGGATTGTCTGCTTACGAGAAAGAATATATGACCATTTTGATTGTAGTAGATCATTGGCGCTCTTACCTTCAGTTGGGGGAATTTCTCATCTTCACTGGCCGGAAAAGCCTCACGCACCTCAATGAGCAACAGTTAAATACAGCATGGCAGCAAAAAGTCTTTACACGCCTACTCGGCCTTCAGTACCGCATTGTGTACAAGCCTGGAGCTGACAACCGTGTTGCCGATTGATAGGACTTGATGCCCTACTGGCGTTGCTGCGCAGGTTATAGGGGTGGAAGAGGGGAGGACGTGGTCTGTACTCTCGATGACGGCGAGGGGCCGTGGCGGCGAGAGCAGCGGCTGCTGCTGCAGCCCTAGAATTAACGTCGAGCTACAGTAACGTGGGTACTGTTCACGCGAGGGAGAGAGGGCAGAGACGGCTGGCTCCCAAGGGAAGCCAGCAACTTAATTGTTGCTTTCTGCTTAATTCCAATCATCCCCGATTACAAGTATTTATCCTTCCTTATAGATGCTATAATTAAGGAACTATATCTATCTCTAAGAAAATACCAAATAAACGATAAATTGGGCCTCTAAGCCCCTTAACAGACCGACCCCCTAGCCACTATTGGGCCTACGCCTGGCATAGGGGATGCCGGTCATAACATCTCTCCCCGCCTGCGCAAACAACTCGTCCTCGAGTTGGAAGTCGGGGAAGTGCTCACGGAACTCGTCGAGAGGCTCATCCACGACCAGTATGGGGAACTTGTCCTTGGACGTCTTGGCGTTGAGGGCGCGGTAGTCGATGCAGAAGCGCCAAGACTTGTCCGCTTTGCGGACAAGGAGCACGGGCGCCGAGAACGGCGAAGTGCTAGGCCGGATGATGCCCTGGGTGAGCATGTCCTCGCACTGCCGTTCCAGCTCGTCCTTCTGCAGCTAGGGGTAGCGGTACGGGCGCACGGCGACGGGAGCGGTGTCCGGCAGGAGGTGGATGCGGTGGTCGTACGGACGGGTCGGTGGAAGGCCCTACGGCTCCTCGAAGATGGCGCCGTGCTGCTGCAGTAGGCGGTCCAGCAAGGGCTGCTGAGAGTCGTCGGAGGTCGCCGCCACATGCTGCTGTGGCGCGGCCGAGTGAGAGCCACCCACGCCCTTCCAGAGGACGCGGCGACCCTCACGCCAGAAGGCCAACATCATGGCCTCGAAGTCCCAGAGAATGGGGCCCAAGGTCCGCAGGAAGTCGACGCCGAGGATGAAGTCGAAGCAGCCCAAGTTGAGGCCGACGCATGTGATGGAGAAGTCCTCGGCCCCGATGTTGATGGGGATGTGACGGGCGATGCCCTCGCAACGTAGGCGATCGCCGTTGGCGACGGTGACGCGGAGCTGCGCCCCTCCGGTGGGCGGAAGCCCTAGGCGGCGCATGGTTGCGCCCTGGAGGAAGTTGTGGGTGGAGCCGGTATCGAGAAGGGCCAAGAGGCACTCCCCCTTGACCATCACCAGCAGCAGCATCGTGTTCTCCGTCCGGATACCTGCAAGTGCATGGAGGGACACGACGAGAGCGCTAGCGGCCGCCTGCCCCTGGGCGGCCGACTCCTCTGGTGGTATGGCCGCGTCCCCGTCCTCAGCGGGCGCGGCGTCCTCCTCAATGTAGTCCCCGGACTCCAGGTAGAAGAGCTGCTGACACACATGTCCAGGGAGGTAGGGCTCGTCGCAGTTGTAGCATAGTCCTTGGCGACGACGTTCCAGCTGCTCCGCCGGTGTAAGGCGGCGAAACGGGCGCGCCGCGGGGGCCGCTTGGCCTTAGCGGGGGCCTGTCCTGCCTGGTCCGCCTCAGGTGCGCGCGCTGGAGGAGGCTGACCCTGACACGGAGCTGGAGGAGCGGCTCGAGGAGGCGGCGCCGGCTGCATGGCAGCCGTACGACGCTCGAACGCCCGGGCGTAGTACATGGCCATCTGGAGGTCCGGGGGGTCGCGCATCTCCATGTCCACCCGGATATGATCCGGAAGGCCACCAACGAAGAGCTCGGTCCGCTGACGCGTGGAGACGTCCCAGGCGTGACATGCCACCGCCTGGAAGCGATCGGTGAACTCCTGCACAGTGGAAACAAACGGCAGCCGGCCTAGCTCGGCCAGCCGACTCCCGCGGATCGGAGGGCCAAAGCGCAGACGACACAGCTCCTTGAAGCGCACCCACGGTGGCATGCCCTCGTCCTGCTCGAGGGCGTAGTACCAAGTTTGGGCCGCCCCCCCCCCCGAGATGATAGGAGGCGAGCCAGGTACGGTCGGAGGCGAGCGTGCGCTGACCCCAAAAGAATGGCTCGCACTGGTTGAGCCAATTCAGGGGATCAACGGAGCCGTCGTATAGCGAACTCCAACTTGTAAAACTTGGGCTGCGGCGGGTCCTGTGCGGCGGCCGAGGGCGCCGTGCCCATGTTGTCCAGCGAGGGCGACGCGGCAGATAGCGTCGGCATCAGGCTACCGCCGTGGAACAGGGGGCCATCCACCCCGCCGTAGAGGACGCCCGGAGCCGGGGCGCCGCCAGGCGCCATGACAGCCCCGGTGGTCGGGAGCGGCGGTAGGTGCGGCTGGGTACTGGGCGCCGTGTAGATGGGTTTCGACGGACTGGCGATCCAAGCCGGAAGTGGTGACGGCGACGACGGGAACCTGATCTGCTGGATGGGGACGCCCTTGGATGGCGGCAGCGCGACTGGGAACGAGGTCGTCGCAGTCCCATCGTAGGGCATCCCATACTGGTACGAGATGACCGGCGTCGTGGTCGCGGCCAAGGGCGGAGGCGGTGGGGGTAGCTGCTGTTGGTGTGGCGGCGAAGGAGGTGGCAGCTGGGGCTGCGGCTGGGGCGCATAGGGCTCGACGAGGAAGGCCCTGATGCCCGCCACGGCCTGCCCTAATTCCAGGATTGCGGCCGTCATCTGCTCTCGGTGAGGACGAGGGCGACGGGCGGCGCGAGGGCGCGAAGCGCCTCTAACGACGCCAAAACGCCTTAATGCGCGCTGCGGCGGGGTGGGCAGAACTTCGCCGTGGCAACCGGGTGGGAAGAACTCGGTAGAGGGCTGGACATGATCGAACCAGAGATCTCTGATACCAGATTGATTGGATTTGATGCCCTAACGGCGTTGCTGCGCAGGTTATAGGGGTGGAAGAGGGGAGGACGTGGTCTGTACTCTCGACGACAGCGAGAGCGGCGGCTGCTGCTGCAGCCTAGAGTTCACGTCGAGCTACAGTAACTCGGGTACTGTTTATGCAAGGGAGAGAGGGCAGGGACCGCTGCTCCCAAGGGAAGCCATCAACTTAATTGTTGCTTTCTGCTTAATTCCAATCATCCCCGATTACAAGTATTTATCCTTCCCTATAGATGCTATAATTAAGGAACTATATCTATCTCTAAGAAAATACCAAATAAGTGATAAATTGGCCCTCTAAGCCCCTTAACAGACCGGCCCCCTGGTCACTATTGGGCCTGCGCCTAGCATAGGGATGCCGGTCATAACACCAATGCTCTCTCTCGTCGTAGACACACTGCTGAATTGCACTCTATATCTGCTGCGGTTCCCTCTTGCCTTGATGCAGTCATTGCTAGTTATGAGTCCGACTCCAAGGCCCAAGAGTTGCTAGCCAAGTTGGCCATATCTGATGGTGCCGAGCCAAATTTTTCTCTGCAGCAAGGTTGATCCTCCACCATGGCCGCATCTGGGTGGGATCTGATTCTTCTATTCAGCAAAAAATCATTGAAGCTTTCCATGCCTCGGCTGTCGGTGGCCATTCCGGTTTCCAGCAACGTTCCGCCGTATCAAGCAGTTGTTTTCCTGGACGGGTCTCAAGACGTCTGTCCAACAATTCGTCGCTTCGTGCTCAACTTGTCAACAGGCGAAGCCCGACCGTTCTAGGTACCCAGGTCTCCTCCAACCCCTGTTTGTTCCAACTATGGCTTGGCAAAGTATCTCGATGGACTTTGTTGAAGGTTTGCCTAATTCTGGGGGCAAGAATTGCATTTTGGTGGTTGTTGATCGTTTTTCCAAATATGGTCATTTTATACCACTTGCTCATCCATTCACGGCTTTTACTGTCGCCAAGCTGTTCATTCAGAACGTTTACCGTCTCCATGGCATGCCCACTTCAATCATATCTGATCGAGACAAAGTTTTCACAAGTCAGCTGTGGCAAGAACTTTTCCGTCTAGCTGATGTCTCTCTCAAGATGTCTACAGCATACCATCCACAGACAGACGGGCAAACCGAGAGGATCAATCAGTGCATGGAGACGTTCTTGAGGTGTTATGCCAATGCATGTCCATCCAAGTGGTTGGACTGGATTTACTTAGCTGAGTACTGGTACAATACGACATGGCATTCTTCTCTGGGGTTCTCTCCCTTCTATGTGCTTTATGGCCATCAGCCGCGACATTTCGGCATCACACCCGAAACTGCAATCAGCTCTGAGTCCTTGTCGGATTGGGTACAGGACAAATCCATGATGTCTGAACTGATTCAGCAGCACCTTGTTCGAGCTCAAGACCGTATGCGCACTCAGGCCAACAAGTCTCGTTCTGAAAGACAGTTCTCAGTGGGAGATTGGGTTTACCTGAAGCTTCAGCCCTATGTTCAGGCGTCGCTTGCGCCTCGCTCTAACCAAAAGCTTGCCTTCAAGTTTTTTGGTCCATTTCAGGTGGTGGAAAAGGTTGGCCCGTCGCCTACAAGCTCGAGCTACCAGCGACTTCGTCAATCCATCCCGTCTTCCACGTTTCCCAGCTCAAGATGGCGGTGCCGGCGTCCCACTCCGTCGCCACACTGCCGCAGGCGCTGGACGGCCTCCAAATTCCACTGAAGGCGCTGCAGCGGCGCGTGGGCAACTCCGGAGCAGCGGTGGTGCCTCAAGTCCTCATCCAGTTGTCCGGCTTTC